TGCGTCTACGTGAACAAGGCTTTAGTCAAGGTAAATCTTTTGTTATTCTCGGTCGAGAAATTTCTTCGAGTGCCTACATACTTCTCATTACTCAGCCTACTACAGAAAAATGGTAAAGAGAAAATATGTTTCTTTTATCGAGATCTACGAACCCTGAAAATATTTGCACTTATTTAAGACTAAATCTAAATGCAATCGTTTACTGTACATTCGTTCCGATGTTTTTGATTCAGTATGACTCATGTATGACTTCTTGAGACACAACTTATGACAACAGTATGACGTTTTGGCAGTATAATATATAGTGTGAAAGTAAGGGCCTTGTTACGTGTACTAATAATCTCCAACCATGCCTTGGCGAATATCTTAGCTCACAAATGAGCAGTCAAAACCAATAAACGGTATAGTATAACTCATAGTCTAAACATATTGGCACCAACCATATCAACTCTAGCTGAGTAGCCTCCCGAATCTCAGAGACCTCAGTACCTGGAGGTACCTGCTAATTAACAAAACCTCTTCAGTTATGAATGTATTAAACCTCAAACCTTGGTATGAAGATAGAATTTCTATTATTTGTATTTCTCTTTAATAAACTTCAGAACAGCATAGTTGGATTCTCTGGAATAGTGATCAGGGTTTTCTCTGCCGTGCTCTTTTACTGATGAATTCCAGGCACTCCTTTCATTTCATTTAATAAGTATAGTTCAGTCATTGGGGATCAAAAAAGGGGCCTGCTTGGAAAAAAGTCCGGAAGTTTTGAAACTTTGCAGGTTTATAGGTTTTGGGGTCCCTAACTAAAATCCATAAAATGCACATATCCAGACTTGCCGCCGGCGCCGCTATCTTGCCAAGATGGCGCCCAAAATCGGTATTTTGTGAATATCTCGAAAACTATGCTTTTTTCGCGAAAATTTGACGAGAACTATCCTATAAAAAAGGTTTTATGAGAATTTTCGCTAAAGTCAACCATTTAGGCATGCACAAAACCTTTTTTATAAGAAATTTCTCTTTAATTTTGCTCTCCTCAAATTTTCGCGAAAAATGCATAATTTTCGAGATATTCACAAAATACCGATTTTGGGCGCCATCTTGGCAAGATGGCGGCGCCGGCGGCAGGTCTGGGAATGTGTATTTTATGGATTTTAGTTAGGGACCTCAAAACCTATAAACCTGCAAAGTTGCAAAACTTCCGGACTTTTTTCCAAGCAAAAATCCCCAATGACTGAACTAGTAGGGCTATTTACAAATTTAGCGTTTGATTTACATAACTCATCCTCCTCAAATTTCCCAAAATATTGCATCTGTCGGGCGCTTCCGAGGAAATCATAATAAAAAATATTTTAAACACAACGTAGATTTCTTTATTTCATTTAAATTGTTTTTAGAAATTTGGCAAAAATATTACCTCTTCAACTTTGTTGAACGAACATGAGTTGTTATACAGTACGTCTGTCCGTTCTATGGCTACGGGGTATCCGTGAGAGGGGAAACGATATTCTCTCGATGTTTTTCGTAAAAAATTAGACGACGCGTCCCATCAATAAAACGGACTCGTCAAGTCGGCGTATAAAATATATTGCTGTTTATTTAAATGTTTTTTGTCCGCATTCCTTTCATAGACACAGATCCAGCAGACGAACTGTACTACGTTTGAATAGTTGTGTTACAGTACGTCTGTCCGTGCTTTTCGTGCTACAGGGTATCCGTGAGAGGAAACGATATTCTCCTCGATGTTTTTCGTAAGAGAGAAAATAGACGAAGCGTCCATCAATGGTCAACAAATTTGCAAGCCAACCAATAAAATGAGAGGGCGGAGCGATTTGCGGTGACGCACTCGTCAAATCGACTTTAATATAAAATTAAGTATAAAAATATATTGCTGTTTATTTAAATGTTTTTTGTCGCATTCCTTTCATAGACACAGATCCAACCGATGTACTGTATATATTTTAATAGTTTTCTTTCTTCTTATACTTCCCGAAACGTTAAGTATTTTTTGTTCGTCAGGCAAATTTGTTTATTAGTAGATCACTGCTGACAA